TACAGTGTCTTGTTGTCTTCGGAGCATCTTTATCGTTTGATTTCTGCGTAGAGCTGCATTTTTCTCTCTCGTTATTTACACTACATGTGCGAATCGGTGGGCGGGGCTAAATGGGCAGTGATGTAGAATCGGTGCGCGGGGCTAAACAGACAGCAATGTAGAATCGGTGGGCGGGGCTTAACAGGCATTGATGTAGATTCGGTGGGCGGGGCTAAACAGGCATTGATGTAGAGTCGGTGGGCGGGGCTAAACATACATTGATGTAGAATTGGCAGGCGGGGCTAAACAGGCATTGATGTAGATTCGGTGGGCGGGGCTAAACAGGCATTGATGTAGAATCGGTGGGCGGGGCTAAACAGGCAGCGATGTAGACTCGGTGGGCGGGGCTAAACAGGCAGCGATGTAAAATCGATGGGCGGGGCTAAGCAGGCAGTGATGTAGAAGCAGACGTTGATCTTCTGCGGAGGCGGTGCTTATCCACACTATTACATCATAGAGTAGAGCATTCCACGAGCTGTTGTTTTGGCAGATTGGCTTCAATATAAGCTGGTTTTAGACTAACGAGAAAGTTTTGAGTTCTGAAACTTACAGGATGTTTTTATAATATAATGATCAAGGGAATTTTGGTTTCTCAGTTCATGACTCCTTTAATAGCTACTGTTTGTTTACCAACATTCTTCAAAATATCTTATTTTGTGCTCAGCAGAAGAAAGAAACTTTAGAAACTTATTGAATTTGGTATGATATGTTCAAAAAATTTTAAAAGGTGTAGAAATTGTATTTAAGACCTTTTGACAGCTTAATTTAATTGATTATTAATCCATGTGACATCAGTGGTCCAACCGTAATTTTATGAAGCTACGAGAATACTTTTTGTGTGCAAAGAAAACGTTGTTTACGTTCAGATCAAAGCGTAAACAACATAAACAATGCATCCGTTTTTAAAGGAATATTTCACGCATTAATGCAATGAAATTCAATTGAACAAGATATTAAATATGTTTTCTGTTGAAGCTAAAACACACAGTGAATGTTGTTTGTCAGTCTGTTTGTTTCTGGATGTAGAGACGAGGAAGAGTCTGAATAAACATCGGTAACTGATTCTGAAACGCTCTCGGTTACATTTCAATGTTCCCTCTTCTGCTTCAACACCAATGTGTCCTTTTCTTCAACTAAAAATAGATGCTTGTTGAGAATATTTTGAGATTTTTTTAATGTCACCTTCAGCTGCAGTGTGTTTGTGTGTAAGAGTGAGTGTGTGAGTGTATGTGTATGTGTGTGTGTACATATATATATATATATATATAACGGAGCGCCGCGGCCTCCTGACAGACACACTCAGGGAACGAACACTCAAAATAGTTTCAACAGGGAAATGACAGAAGAGACGAGGCGGTCATCAGTGACACTGACATTAAAAAAAATTAAAACACAGCAGATGACTGTGAAAAAGCAGGCGAAGGAAAGTTACTTTGGTTCCACCTAAAACATAAAACCTGTGTTTTACATGACTCTGTTATGTTTAATGTATGTGATCATATCATTGTTTTGCTAAATGTAAACATATGTACTTTTTACCATCAACCTGCTAGGAACTGCAGATGATAATTAGTATTTAATGTAATTAATGTGCACTGCCACTTGTAAAACAAATAATAAATGTACCATAAACCAGGGGATACAAAGTATGTGAACGCTCATTGTGGCTGTTGAAAATACAGAATATCAAATAAATCTATATTTTTAGAATATTCCAGTACAATTTGTCCAGACATCAGACAATCCTAAAAGTAGGAATCTTTCTCTTCATCAATAATGTATTGTTTGATTCGGCACACATGAGAGGGTTTGCAGGACGGATGGCTCCTAGTCCTTTCTCCTCTCCAGTCCAACAATAATAGATCTAAATCTTCAGAATAGATGCCTTTTTTAATGCAACACAATCCAAAAGTGAAGCAAGTGAGGGCATGTTACAGATTATGTGTGTTACACCATCAGATTATGACTAAAGTTACTTGAATTTACACTATGTTGCTGTAAAAATGAGAATTGTGTTTATATATTGAAAATATTTTGCTATAATTATTAACATAACAGAATGAAACCACCTGTATGTTGCATAATAACGCTTCCTCCAGTGAAAAAGTGCATCTGCTGTTGTCTCTCACATCAAAATCCAGCTACATATTAGTTTAGAGCTGTTTAAACGCTGCTTGATCTGTGCAGATTTCTCTCCTGATTCACACCAGAACACTTTTTTGCTGGAGGAAGAGTTATTATGGATTATAGACTCGTATTTTATTTAAAAACGTCTTAATGCTGGATTTGTCTCAGCTTTTGTCTTTTCCAGATGTTAACTGATGGACTGGAGTGCTGTGGATTATTGTGATGTTTTTATCAGCTGTTTGGACTCTCATTCTGACGGCACCCATTCACTGCAGAGCATCCATTGCTGAGACACTGATGCAATGCTACATTTCTACAAATCTGATGAAGAAACAAACTCATCCTAATCTTGGATATATCATAAAGGTACTCCCACAGTATTTTTGTTTTGCTTTCCAGTGCAAATGTCTAAAGATTGTTAAATTAAGATACATTTAACATTTAAATAAGAGGTCTTGTTTTCTGAAAAAAAATCAAATGAACTGATTTTATGATTAAAACAAATATCTGCCAATGGGCTTAGAAAGATCAACTTAATTCAAAGGGAAAACAAGTTTAATACCCCATTGACAGATATTCACTCTTGTTTATAACATAAACTCACTTAATTTTGTTCCGTTCTTCAGAAAACAAGACTTCTTATGTTCAATTTGCACCTGAAGTACAAGCATCTTGATTTTTGTCTTGTTTTCAAGATACTTTTTACCTGAGAAAGCAAAATGACTTAAGATAAGTCATGTTTTCTGAAAAATTTATCAAAATTTAGTGAGTTTATGCTTAAAACAAGAACAAATATCTGTCAGAATGCTAATAAAATTAACTTTGAATTAAGTTTCCTTTTCTGATCCCACTGGCAGACGTTTGTTCTTGATTTAATCACAAACTCACTTACTTTTGATACTTTTTTCAAGAATTGTTTATAAGACTTAATATCTGAAGTCATTTTGCTTCTCAAGTAAATAAAAAAATACTAAAACAAATAATTTTTTTGCAGTGTAGAACAAAACTGAAGCAAAAGTAGTTAACACGTTACTTTCCATAATGTAACCTCTTTAGTTCACCTTTAATAATATATATCACATCACATTTAAAACACACCGTTCAGAGCATCACTATCTGATCTACAATTAAAATATGCTCTTGTTTACTCCAACTAAAGTCTAAAAACAAGTAAATAAATACACTTTTACTTTGTGAACACATGCATGAACATTGATGACCTTTAACCCGGCCGTATGTAAAGCCCTCGTCTGCTTTTGACAAGAGACAGCAGTGTTGTGTTTGTGTTGATCTAAAGTTCTGGTGAGCAGGTTGTCACGGTGACATTGAGAGGGTCTCTCTCGGTCTGCATGCAAGCTGGGCCGTCTGTTCTGCTGGCATGTTGCCGTGCCAACAGGGGGCAGAGGAAGAGAGTGCTTCATCTTCTGAACGCAGTGTGTGTGTGTGTGTATGTGTGTGTGCGTGTGTGTGAGGTGTGTGTGTGTGTGTGTGAGAGTGTGTGTGTGTGCGTGTGTGAGGTGTGTGTGCGCGCGCGTGTGAGTGTGAGGGGACGCAGGCCAGCGGGAGGGAGACGGACGGTCAAATGTGTTTTCCACCAAGTTATCATAAGCGTGAGGTTTCTGCAGTCCTGCCGTGACTTGGCCTTCACTTCTGTTTCCAAAGTCATCGCTATGATTTACTTTCTGTCCCGCTTTAGCGTTGAAATCGCTGTGCGTAATGAGTTGTGTACAGTAGCATGTGCGCATCAGTCTTATTTTAGTATCACTGCCATATTATTATAGCTTTTTATTTTTATTTTTTCCATTTTAATTTAAAATAGTTAAATTTTTTTTTAAAGTTTTTGGTCATTTTGTTGTCTTTTTGTCATTTTAGTTGTCTTTTTAAAAATATATCTATATAGTTTTTATTAATTTTAATTTTAGTTATTTTAGCAATTCATGTTCAAATAAATGTGAGAAATGTTGCCTTGGTAACTAGCTTAAAATAAGTTTAAGTTTTTGTATGTTTTATGTCAGTTAACATTTATTTCAAGTAACATTTTTTATGGTTTTAGTTTTAGTTAACAATAATACCACTATCAATATTTTGTATTTTATTTTAGCTTATTCAACGTTATTTTTT